GTGTAAAGATAAGGACTTCACTTTCACATCATATACAGTACTTAATTACTTTTTAAAAAGAATTTTATCAGGGCACCTGAGTGGCTCAGTTGGTTAAGCACCCAACTCTTGATTTCAGTTCAGGTCATGATCGCATGGTTTATGAGACTCAGCCCCATGTCAGGCTCCATACTGACAGTGCAGAGCCTGCTTGGGATTCTCTCTGTCTCTCTCTCTCTGTCTCTCTCTCTCTCTCTCTCTGCCGCTCCCCCACCCCATCCTCTCAAAATAAATAAACATTAAAAAAATAAAAACAAATAAAAATAAAAAGAATTTTATCACTTAAAAAAATAAACTATTAGAGAAATAAAATCAAAATCTGGACACTGACTGACTGCCTCCAATTTAATGTTATAAAAAAGAAATCAAAGACCAGCCTTTTTGTTGTTATTTTCATTTAGGAAACTGTACAATTTTTTTGAACTATACTTCAAAATATCTGCCATAATGTGTCCAAGATTAGGACTCTATCTTGGCAAGTACTGTGTGAGATTTTCAAAAAACTATATAAACAAGTCATTTTTTTAGTCCAGGAAAGTCATATTCTATTACTATGTCTTTACTAGTTTTGTTTCATTTTGCTCTTGGTCTCTTCCTTAGGTTTATCTATCATTTCTTGTATAATGGCATAAGGGTAGGTTTAAATATAAGTAACATAAATTGGTGAGATTCAGACATATTGACCCTTGTTTTGCAAACGAGGCAAACTAGGGAGCTCCTTGCTTATGCACCAAGGAAACTCTTAGGAAATAATTGAGAAAAGACTTAATCATGCATCAAGTCTGACTTGACAAATTATTAGCACCCAAAAAGGCTGGTGAATAAACGGACACATATACCCATTATTCAAAACCATCTCTTGGATTAGGCAACCACAAATTTACTTGTTGCAGGGGTGGGAAGGGGAGCCAAAAGAAAAAGTGAAAAAGCTATTTTTAGTTAAAACTACTTAAAATGGCATTTTATAAATAATAACCAACGGAATATTATATTCCAAGGAGTGTTGATGGCTTTTCCATTTCTATAAAAAAAATCCACCTGAAATTTTGAGTATTCTGAATCTATACAATCAGTAATTTGAAAGGAATCAAGTCTTCATGTCTAGGAACATGGTAGAAACTCACAGGTTTTCTTTTTCTATCCTTTCACTTCATAATGGTCTTAAAGTTCTTTTTTGGTTTATTCTTAAGCACTTATTTATTTTTAAATATCTACCATATATGAAATCTTTTTCTCCTATTTACTCGTTATTGATTGTTTTCCTATAGAAAAACTATTGGACTGTTTTTCTTCAACCAAGTAATTTCTAAATTTCCTACTTTTTCAATAGTTTGCCAAGTTAATTCTATCGAGTTCCCAATCATTACTTTTAATTTATTTTTCCTGTCATTATTTTATTGCTCAGACTGCCACCAAAACTCTATTTAGTAGTACAGATAATAGGCATCCCAACTTCAGTGGAAGTATTTCCACAATCCACTATTAAATATGATACTGGTTGTAATTTTAACAGAGTTCCTTATAATTTTAGGCTTTCTACTTTCTTCCTAAATAAAATGGACTGCATAGGTATAAAGTTGTGTAGGGGCGCCTGGGTGGCTCAGTCGGTTAAGCAACCAACTTTGGCTCAGGTCATGATCTCACAGTTCATGGGTTTGAGCCCCAGGTGCTGTGCTGTGCTGTGCTGACAGCTGAGAGCCTGGAGCCTACTTCGGATTCTGTGTCTCCCTCTCTCTCAAAAATAAACATTAAAAAAAACTTTTTTTAAGTTGGGTATACTAACGTTCTCTTAATGTCCTCTGTGTATTTGTCTCGTTTTTTAATCCTTATGTAGTTTATTTACACTCATCATTTATAGATCAAAAATTAACCTGCTTTTAAGTTGTCTCCAAGAATAAGCTTTTATCTTCATTGCTCAATATTCAAAATGGGTTAGGCTTTTTGCTATTTTATTAATTTATTAACTCATTCTTCCTTCTTGGGGTTTAGTTTTAATTATTGTTTTTTCCTAGCATTGGACAGGAACATATAATATTCTTCAATTTCCTGTTTAGTAGTAATGTGTTTAAAGTTATAAATGTCCCTTTGAATACTACTGTGGCTTTAACTTATAGGTTTTGATATTCAGTGCTTTAAGTACAGTTCTGATCTAAAGAGTGGAGAATTTCCATTTTTACTGCCTTTTAGCAATTCTCTGGAAATATGTTTTGGGAAGAGTTATGATCTGGGAGGGGTAGAAAAGCTAAATATTTGCTGACTATTTCTATTTTTATTACACAGTTGCTATTGAACCCACAGCAAATGACAAATATCTGCATTTTAAGACTTTCTTAGAAGTTACTATAGTTCTAATCTTGACAATGCATCAAAGTTATATAAATCTAAAAATCATACATCCTTTTACTTAAAAAATAATTAAATTCATGGAAATAACTGTTGAGATTTATACTACACAATTTGACATCTCTGAAAAAGTGAAAATACACAAAACTTTTCCACAATTCAGAAAGCAACCAGTCCCTAAAGTAATATAGAAAATTATTATATAACTAATTCTCCAGA